AGGTGTTGTGTAGGTTTCTCAGTTGTGTCACAACCATAGGTAAAGGCATAAAATGATGTTACTGTATTTATGTAAAAACCACCAAAAGGTAATATAAAAATGCTATCTGGATTCCCAGGATGATATAAATACACAATCATAATGAAGTAAAATCTAAGTCATTTACACAGTAATTAGATACTGGTACTAGGCTCACTTACAAGCCAAATGATTCATCTACTGTACCTTCAGCATTAGTCTCTACACAAGAAAACCTTTTTTATTCAGAGACTAAACGTTGCTTTCCCTACCATCTGAAATAATTCTTTAAAATTCTGAACTGCCACCTGTTTTTCTGTCCACAGGTCTATTTAAGGAAAAGATGTTACTGATGCCAAAAATTTGATTATCCAAAAACATTTAAGAGACACTTGCTATAACTGAAGGTGGCAAATTCTGCTTCTGTTCACAGTATGAGGTCTGGAATTGCATATTTAATTGTTCCAACCTCTTAAGGTTTGATATTTACAGATTCTGAATGGTATCTCAGAAACAAAAACTATTTTTCAATGCCAAATGAGTCAGATGCTGGCCACTCTGCAGCCATTGTCTTCATTATTTACTTTTAGGAAAAACTGGATGGCTTGTAACTGCTTCTGCATGCTGTACCAGTTAATGAATTACATTGATTTTTTTTATCACATCACATCATATTTTTTTATCAAATTTGATTTTTTATCTTCTGATTGCTTCTCAAGATTTGCAATTTTCTTTATGGGAACAGATTCTTACCTAATTTCTCCACTTCATAATGTAAAAAATACTTAAAAATAGTGCATTAATTCCTTGACATTTTGTAGTGTGTTTTCAGTTTACATTAACTGCTGAAAAGAAAGTGAAAATCTTTTGCTAGTATGTTATTATAGGATGAAGTCATCTATTTCTGCTCCAGTTCAGCGAAATACTTAATTTGTACTTTGAACCTGTGCTTAAAGACTTTGGTAATTTTGGATCTGGATAGCAAATATAGGATCCCTTCTCTCAATGTCTTTGAGGCACATTTTCAAAGTATAATAATTTTTCACAGATCCAAAAGTGCGTTTTAGTGGAGGTCTACAGCAATATTTTCATTCTGTGGTTGCTTTGCCTCATTTTCTAATGTGCATATTTAATTTCTCTCCAATAGGGACTAGAATAAAAGTGACATTGTAAGGAAAAGCAGCAAAAAGAAACTAGTAAGAAAAAAACATTAAAGTTATGATGTGATTTGTCCTCCTGATGTCAATTTAAGTAGTAGGAACACAGTAGATCCCTCTCCAGGAGGAAAACAAATTGAGACTAATGCATTTTTAAGACTTCATTCACTATATTAGTAGAAGGTTTGTAAAGAGCAGAAGCTCAAAATAACGAGTTACTTCAGTTGGGGAACAGCAGAGAGTGTTGGGATGATTTTTGGTTTATTTTGTATTGCTACCACTTAGTGGAGTGTCTTGGTGAAACCAGGGAAGACCTTTTCCTCTATATTAATTGCAAGCCAGCGCTCATTAGGAAGCTGTGTTGGGGTTACATGAGGTGATAATGGGAGTTCAGTGGCCTCTGCATTTGGAAGTTCCAGGCCCTCATACAGATATCAAATATATTTGTTTTTTCCTGGGAAGCTGAATGAAAATTTTTCTTAGAGGTCGACAGTGAAAAAGAAAGAATGGAGATGCTGGCTTTTCAGGATGGAATAGCAAATTGTCAGTTTTGATGAACAGAAGTTGACTCACATTTTCAATGCCATATTCAATTTGAATGATTCCACTGCAAAATCAAACAGAAAAACAATTGTTCAACAATTGAATGTGAGATGAGTTTGAAAAGATTGGACTCTTTATGCAGATGCGTAATCTGAAGGTTAGAAGAAGATTATTTTAATTTTGTTTGTATTTTCTCAGCATAAAAGAAGAAACCAGGACATACCATATATGTTGAAATTGGAAATCATACTGAATGTAATATTTAAAAATAACAACTAGCTCGTAGAAATCTCTAAATGTAATAAAGTGATAAAGTGTGCATTATAGACACAGTGAGTTCTGGGATTCTTTTTTTTAGCATGAAGGTTTTTCTACTTCTAATAAAACTATCTCCCAGTCTGGTATTGTCCTGGATTTATCTGGGATAGAGTTCATTTCTCCTCAGTAGCTGGTACTTTGCTGTGTTTTGGATTCAGTATGAGAATAATGTTGATAAGTACTTATGTTTTGGTTGTTGCTAAGTAGTGTTTATCCTAAGCCAAGGACGTTTTTTGTGTCTCATGCTCTGCCAATGAGGAAGGGCACAAGAAAGCTGGGAGGGAGCACAGCTGAGACCCAAACTGGCCAAAGGGACATTCCACACCATTAGAATGTCACGCCCAGTTTGTAAACTGGGGGAGTGACCTGAACGAGGACAGGGACTGGCACTGGTGGTGAGCAGTTGCATTGGGCATCACTTGTCTTAATGTGTGGGTTTAAACAACAACAACAACAAAATTATTATTATTATTATTATTATTATTATTATTATTATTATTATTATTATTATTATTATTATATTTCCCTTTTGTTTCAATTATTAAACTGTTCTTATCTCAACCTACAAGCTTTACTTCTGATTCTCCTCCCCATTTCTCTGGGGTGTGAGGGCTAAGCAAGTGACTGTGTGGTGTTTACTTGCCAGCTGGGCTTAAACCTCAACAGCTATGTGTAGAAATATGGGTAGGGAGAAAATCTACAAAAGATTTGCAAAGGATTAGGATCATTTATATGGTAGCAAGTAAAAAGGTTATACTGAAGTATATACAGAGTTAGTGCTAGGTGAGCATCTGTTCATCTGTTTGCTTCAATAAGAGAGGCAGGAATAATTGAGTAAAAATATGTATGGAATATTTTGTGCAACTTTACACAAAGAAATCACTGGAGCCAATAGCTTTGCAGAGAAATACAGAAAAACTTAATCTGTGTGTTTGTGTAACAAGGAATAAATACTTTTAATTCAAAGATAAACATCATGCTTCATGCAAAAATTATTGTCTTGTTGGTAAGGCTAAGGAAGAAACTTCTTTGAAAGTAACATTATGATTCTTGGTTCTGAAGGTTGCTTGACTTAGTTTAATTTCCTTAGTATATCATAGTGTCTGTTCTTGTAGAGAAAATTCATGACTAACATAGACCAGCAGTTTGTTTGAGTTTGGTCATATCCATTTTTCTATTAAAGCTGATCTGATTTTCTGCTGTACTCTGTGTTACTCAATTCAAGCTCAAATGTTCTTAAAAGTAGTGGGACGTCCTCGAGCCAGGTATAATTCCTGTTGCTTGGGGTCAGTATGTTGCATCCAGACTGAACAGCCAGCTCCCCAGGATGGACAACGAGACCAATCTAAGACAATCAGCAAAACCTCAGGCCAAATACTGAGATAGAGTTCCCAGCAGTGATAATGAGGTGAGGCTTGCATGTGTAGCAGCAGAGTCCAGGAGTGATCAGTTCTGCAAACCTCATTTGCAGTCAGTGGCGCCAGGGCAGCTGCTGCACTGTATTTGTACAATACATTTGAAAGGCAGTTCACCTGTGCTGTCTTTTGGGTGGCTTTGTGGGATATATTTGGCCATTTGTATTAATAGCCCAGGGGTTTCTGATGCTGTTCTGCTCCCCTCTGCAGTCTTACAGCCTTGGGTGCCCCTGCTAGACTGCTCACTTTTACACACAGACTTCTAAAGTTGCTCACACTTCACTATACAGAACAATGAGATTTAAAAGTATGAATATCTGTTTGTGTATATATATGAATATGATGATTTCTTAGCTATTTGCTATTAATATCCAGTTATGACAGTATTGGTATGGGTTAGAATTTAATTCTTTTTGGGTTATAGTGAGTATTTTTTGGTAAGATGTTGCAATGCCATGTTATGCAGGCGTAATGGTAATGAGTCAGGAGTTGGCACATAGTCTTCTGAGTCAGGATATTAGGGGGCATTGTGTACCAGAGGTACTTTCTTTTGGCTTAGCTGCAGAGCTGACCATCTGTGGTCATAAAAGATCCTGGGAATATTTTTGTAATAACCTAGTTTAGTGACCAAATTTCTTTATGAGTAATGGCATTTGAATGAACTTTCCCAAATTACAGCTATTACTTCTTTTATAAAATATGCTTTGTCATGTTCTTATGTTGTCATATTCATATACGTAATTTAATGCATTTTAATTTGCTATTAATCATACATCATTGCAGACTGTAAAGCTGGGAAACACTGAAATCCCTTGTGAATATTGATTGTGTTAACTATGCCTGTGTACATAGGCTGTTCAGACACTGCCTTGAGTTTATAAAAGGTTATTGTCTGCAAACAACATGACTTCTGTGCCCTGTTATACCTCAGGTATAAAAGTCACTAACCACTCTATTCTTCCCAAATTGAAAGCCTAGAAGCAGTCTAAACAATGAGAAGTTCAGTGATCCACTGGGATATTACCAGTGTTATAAAGCATGCTGAATACACATAAAAATAAAGGGCCTGTTGTGCTCTCAGGAAAGAAATAACTGCCCTTCATTTCTGTTCAAATTCAAGAGGAATTTTAAGGTGTTTCACTAGTTGACTGATAGGTAATTCTGTATGATTTCAATGTATGTTGTTAATTCCCAGATTAATTTCCTTTGAAAACTCTGGATATTTGTAATTCACAGACAGCTGATATATACTTCCTTTTATTCTATTATATCTTAAAACAGTACAAACACCTGGTTAATTTTGTAACAGTGAGGAAAAGGAAACAGGCTCACTAATAATTGGCTGAGATAGAAAGCTGAAACAATGAGGACTTAAAAAAATTGGCTTCTAGGGTTATTCCATTCCCAACCACCACAGAAACCTATAGATAGGTATCTAGTGAAAAAGCTGCTCTCACTGTTTTGGAAAAATCCTGGGCAAATAGAGGCAAAAAGGGAAAATGTGACACAGTAGCTATGTTGTTGATATCAGTGTCTCATTGTCCTCTAGGTCTGAAGTTTGAGGAAATGCAAGAAAAGTTTGGGGAGGAATTCTTCAACATCTGCTTTGACGAAAATGAAAGAGTTCTTCGAGCTGTAGGTGGGACCCTTCAAGACTTCTTCAATGGCTTTGATGCTTTGCTGGAGCATATTAGAACTTCATTTGGAAGACAGGCCACCCTGGAATCTCCTTCTTTCCTATGCAAAGAACTCCCTGAAGGCAATCTCATGCTTCATTATTTTCACCCGCATCAGATTGTGGGATTTGCAATGCCAGGAATGATAAAAGCGGCAGCAAAGAAGATTTACCGCTTGGAAGTGGAAGTAGAACAGGTCACAAACGATAAGTTGTGTTCAGAGGGGACAAATCCAGGTAACTGCAGTTGTTTGACTTTCCTTATCAAAGAACATGAAAATGCAAATACCACAAAAGTACTTCCACCAGGAACTTCCCAGTCCCCCTTAGACCTGAGGATTAGTATCAGCACCTTCTGCAGAGCTTTCCCCTTTCACCTGATGTTTGATCCAAACATGCTGGTTCTCCAGCTTGGAGAAGGTCTTAGGAAGCAGCTGAGATGTGACACTCATAAAACGCTGAAATTCCAAGAGTGCTTTGACATAGTCTCTCCTAAAATCAGTGCCACATTTGAACGAGTTCTCCTGAGGTTATCTACACCCTTTGTCATTCGGACCAAACTTGAGGATTCTGATTCTGAAAGTAAAGATAAGGTAAGAATATTAATTTGGAAGTGGATGTGCTTTATATGTGTGTAGTGGGAAAGGATTTTTTGCTCAGAGAAAGGCAGCTCAAGTCCTGTGTACTCTGGAAAGCCCACTCATGCCTTGCAAACAGGGACTAAGTGATATTCCCCAGCCAAGTGAATATTTTCCTAGATTATTTATAAGCTTTGCCTGTGAAGTTGTAGCAAATCATGACATTTCCATTTAGAAAATTCTGCACAGTGGGGTTGAATAGTAAGGCTTGAATTAAAGGGTGAGGAATTTTACAAAATACCTGTATCTTATCCTTAATTTCACTCCAGCTGTATTATGATAAGAATAGTTTTTAAGCCATTTACTAGGGCCTAGCTTGAAGTATTTATTCTGAAAGTTTCTCATAGCCAGTTTTTCATTGCTACCTTATTGTATCTTATTTCCTGCTTTTGGAATGCTGCTTTCCTATAGGTTTCTTCTTACCTCTCACCCTGCACTCAAGAAAACCAAGGCTGTAAGTGGTACTGAGTGTCACTTAAGCCAGTTTTATTGCATTCCAGTCAATCAAACAGGCACTTGTCCTCCTACACTGCATCTTTCCTCTATGTTTTAGGAGAGAGCTACCTTAACCAGTGAGCCCTGTGTTGAGTTCAGTGCATTCAGCTGAGTAGACTGAGAACATGTCTTTAGTGTGGAGTGCTCCAATGGTTGGATGGAGTTTGTCTCAATGCCCATGCTGGAATTACAGGGAAGTTTTTTAGTGTGAAGTAGGGTTCTGGGTTTTATGCACCAAAGTACTTGTACTTAATTAAAACTTGCTTAGAGGCTTGAAAGTCTGTGTGTGGGTGCCTTGGAAATAGTGCTGCCCTAAGTGGAACTGGATGATCTTTAAGGTCCCTTCCAACCCAAACCATGCTATCATTCTATGATTCTATGATAATTCAAAATATAGTTACTTCTTACAGCAGCAGTATTTCCAGCTCCTCTTTGGCATTATACTTTGGAACCAAAAAGCATATGTCTGGTGCATTTTCCTCTGGAAATAACATGTTCCTCCAAGAGAAACAAACTGGTGCTTTTCATTTTGTATTAGTTGATGTGATTCAACCTTCTTGAAACTAAAAGGGAGTTTATTTTTCAGAATCTGTCCTCAGTGTCACCCTAGCCTTTAAAAACAAGAAGGAAACGAGGTTTGAAAGGAGTGGGGGTGTTGGCTCTGAGCTACCTTATGACATGCTTGTTTCTCCTTTGGAAGAGTCTGGTTTCATGACACTTCAGGCAGAATGCACCTATCCCTCTCAGAAACCTTCCCCTCTCCCAGGACAGAGCCACAGCCCTTTGAATGTCTTCTGCTCTAAACGAATCTGCTGTAAATCACTCTGAAGAGGAAGAAGGTTTAGGTGGGGGAAGGAGGCTTTCAAAGCCTTTTCCCCTATTTAAGTTAAACACACAAAATACTGTCTTACCTGGACAGATTTCATATGGCTGTGGCTTGCTCTCAGGAGAAGTGGCAGGAGTAGGGCTTGTTGGAAGCAGGATTTTAGATTAGGCAGTACTAACACCAGAGAAGCAGGTGGAAGGGGATGGCAGCAAAGGACATCCTTTGCCTGCCAGCAGCTGGGAGAAAAATTGTATCTTGAAGAGTGAGGTGTGAATGAGGAGTGATGGTGAGGTCCAGCGGAGTTGTTGTGCTGCAGGCATGGGAATTAATTTGAGAACATCAGTTTATCTGAAGAGGTATTTTCTTCTGTCTCACCCATTTGATAAGCACTTCCAAAAATTGTTTGCTTGTGAATAATTAAAAAAAGCTGAGCATATGATGCATTTTGCTAGATATTTGGGTTTTTGAAAAAAAAAGAAGTTGCACAGATTCATAGGCTGTGGTTGACTTGCTTACATAGATTTTGAGAGGAGGAACATAGCAATACAGTTTATGTCATGTCATTATCCATAAAAGTCCTTTATGGATAAAAAAAGTAGACTGTTCCTTGGGAACTGCATGCTGTATTATTTTCCCATAGCTCATGTCACTCATTTTGGAGTTCTTTTCAGTTTGCCAGCACTTGTTTGGAAGTTGAATATTAGGCAGGTAGATCAGTAGCTGTAAGCATGACCCTGCTTAAAAGTTGCCAGTAACTGACTCAGACATTTCCCTATTTCTCTGCCATACACCTCTATTCAGTTCATAGTGGAATCACATCCCACTTAAAGCTATTTATCTTTTTTTTTTTTTTAATATCTGACTCTGCAATAACTGACACTTTTCAGACTCGGTTACCTTCAATGGCAGTTGTAGGCATGTGACCCAGACAACTCTGCTGCAGTGTTGAACCTGTTCAGATGTCTTATTGCATTAAAAAAAACCAAAAACTCAAAGGCTTTGCAATGAACAGATGCTGTTCCAGCCTCTCTTCAAAAGATGTTTATTTTCATTTCAATGCATAAACCATACATTTTTTCAGACTAGCAGTGAGAAAGAATCAGAAAACAGTTTTCATTTAGTCCTGACACCAGCTCTGTGTTCAGATGAAAGTAAGACATAAACCACGATCTTTCCCTAACTAAACACATACAAGCAAAATCAAAAAAACCAAAACCCCAGAAAACAGCACCTGTCCTGGCTTTCAGGGTGTTGAGTGCTTGTCCAGTTTATTTAAAGACTCATTTGTGTGTTTCAATTTACTGGTATTTGAATAATTGGAATAAATAATACTATCCTAAGTTTCTGGTATAAGTCCTGTGAGGTGTGGGTGATAGGTAGCACTTCCTGCAGAGCTGTATTGCACCTTTGCAGAAGCACAGCCTCATGCATTAATATCTCAGCAGAATTTTGTTAAATTGGTATGTCACCAGCTGTTCCTTGGAGCTCAGAGCATTTACAGGATCCCATTGTTCTAGGGACCAAGCAGGAAAAAAAGGACTCTCCACCTGAAGAACATGGATACCTAGCTTTAAACATGATTTCCAACACCATGTTTCCTGTTTTCCCATGTAGCTAAATGCTTGCTCTTGGTTTTTTTCCTATGGTATGGTACTACAGATGTTGAAGGGCCCTGTTGCTCTACCTCTTATACAAACATTCTGTTGCTTTTCCCATTTTGCGTGTGTGTTTAACCAGGGACCTTCACTAGCATCCAGTTAGATTTTCCAAATTTTGGATATTGTCTCAAAATATCAAGGACAATGTTTGCTGTTTAACCTGTCTAAGGAAACTCATTCTACACTTCTCTATGGGAGCAATAATTTATTGCAACAATAAAAAATAAATTTGTTGTCACAATTAACCATTGGGATTGATCTCTTACAACTTCACACATGGTTAACACAATTGTACTGCACAGAAGTTCAGTGAATGTTAGTGGACTCACATGTGGGATAAGAAATTAAATTAGGAGGGCTGAGTCTGAACTCGTGTGATGGAGTGTTCTGAAATCCATGTCAAGCCCATCCACTGAGGTGAAGGTGCTGGCATGGGAGGGAGCTGATAACCCCCCCGGCAGTGAGTTGTGCATGCAGGGCAGGTTGGTGTCCCCCACCATTTCCTGACCAGACAGGGGCTGGAAGCTCCCACAGGTACATCCTGAGTGCAGCCATTTTCAGACTGTAGTGATGAACAAGGCCATCTGTGACATGATATAAATACTCGTCTCCTTGACAGTACACTGAGGTGCCTGGAGCTGCTTCAGTTTTTAGCTGAATGGGAACACAAGGAATTGTGTTTCTGGAACTGCTTTCACTCTTCTGGCACATTCTCCTCACGTGCCCCTCGTGAGCCATCAGTGCTGGGCAGATTGAGAGGAGATGGGGCTGCCCTCTCAGGGACCCACTGTCCCCAAGATCTCCATCCAGACCCAGCCCTCCTGGACCATGGATTGGCAGGATGAGCCCTGCCAGCATTTTTGGTGCCCACCAGTTCATGGGCCCACATTGCTGAAACTGGGTTTCAGGTTCCCTGCCATATGCTGTGCATCTGTATTTTCCTTGTATTGCTGCTCTTCAGCTCAAACTTAACAGCCCTTTTGTACATTTGAAATAAATCAGTTTTTTAAGGATACTCACTGGCCTTTGACTTAGGCCTCTGGGTGCTTTAGAAATTATCTAAGAATAAAGCTGGCACCCTAGACTGCATTACTGGAGGTGTCCAGGCTTTTTTTCTGATGGAATGTATTTGTTTTGAATATTTTATTAAAAGCATAACTTCCCAGTTAACAGTTCAGCAAAATGTCTTCTGGCAAAAAATTACTTCTATTTATATATGTGAGTTAAATTTTTTTTCAGTAATTTTGGACATAAAATACCTTTATTATGGAAAAAAGTTTACCTTACAAATTATAATACAATGTTTAAAATACGAAACACTGAGTTTGATAAAAATGACCCTCTGAAATTTTTATATTGGCGGAAATTCCAAATGCCACATATAACTCAGATTTATGAATGGCTTGAAACTCTGTCAGGGGAGATTTAGGTTGGATCTTGGGAAAAGGTTCTTCACCCAGAGGGTGGCTGGGCACTGGAACAGGCTCCCCAGGGAGTGGCCACAGCACCAGCCTGACAGAGTTCAAGAAACACTCGTACAACACTCTCAGGCACATGGTGTGACTCTTGGGACTGTCCTGTGCAGGGCCAGGAGCTGGACTTTGATGATCCTTGTGGGTCCCTTCCAACTCAACATATTCAGTGATTCAATGATGAAAAGTCCATCCAGACCAGCATGCTGACTCTCACAGTGACCAAGAGAGGTCACAAAGGGTTGTCCCTTTGTGAAACAGGTAAGACAAAGTTCAAGCCTGCAGTGTTCCTCTCTTTTAGCTCTCAGGGGAGGAAAGCACATCCTCTTGCAGTGGTATCCAGGATGTGGCAGGGGATAGCCCCCTCAGGACCAAGCCTCCATGATTTGATTTTCTCTGCTGCTTATTAGCAGCTGTGAATGTGAGACCCCTCTGGCAAGTCTCAGCCAGGTGTTCACATTGAATATGGAGTAAAACAGCTGGCAAAGAAGCCTACTTGCCCCT